AAGTCAGTTTCATACAAGAAGGGGATTTCTGGTGTTGGGTTTGTGCCTGAGGGCTTTAGACAAATCTTGACTCCAGAGCCAGTTTTAAGGGGATGGAGAAAAGAATTTGATTTATGCTTTCTTCATCTTGCTGTTCATGGTGCATTTTAGTTTTTCGTCAGTCAATTTAACTCAAGTGTGTTATTGCAAGTTAAATGACTGCACTACAGTAACCAATATTTGTTTTATAATAGCAGGAACTCAAATCACTATTTGCAATATGCAGGGTCTCAATAGCAAATCCACAGAGTATTGTCACCACAGTCACCGTAGTCTTTAACTGCTTTGTTTTTCCTGTTTATAGACTGTATATAAAAGATGGACACGACACACGCGATGTCATTCATTGGTTTGTGGACTACTAATTTGGATCCTCAAGTTCAAGATTTCAGCTACCAGCATCCCTTTCTTTCATTGTGTAGTTATTTATTTATTTATTTATTTGTTTATTATTGCCAAAAGAGTTCATATTTAGATGAGACCAATAGATTGATTAGCAAGATGCATCAACACACAAACATTATACAGCGGTCCCTCGTTTATCGTGGGAGTTACGTTCTAAAAATAACCTGCAATAGGTGAAATCTGCGAAGTAGCCAACTTCATTTTTTACAATTATTATAGATGTTTTAAGACTGCAAAGCCCCTCACTACACACTTTATACACTTTTCTCAGACAGGCATGAACATTTTCACATTTTTCTCTCTTTTTTAAACACTCTCAAAGTTCAAGATCAAACCCTGTTTACAGGTCCAAAACACGGGGATAGAAAAGTTGTGAAAGAATTCAACATTAATGAATTAATGGTATGGAAGTAGAGGAAGCAAGAAGAATGAGTTGAGTAAAGTTTGACTTATCTGACTGTTTTGTTTTGCTTAATTAGCCTTATTATCCGAAAAATATGGTAACTTCTACCTTCCTTTAGCATGTCCAGAAGTCCAACTTTTTGCCCGATGGTTAGCATCTTCCTCCGCCTTTTGGGTGCTATCGCAGGCGGCTTTGACCGTGCAAAACGTTTCGTCAACATTGTTGTGTTTGTTGGGGAGAAAACCTACAACCGTACGGTCCAGCACTTCAGAGTTGCACTGCTAGCGATCGAAGATTTATGTAAATTTGACAAGCTGAATGCATTCTGTACTGTACAGGAGACACGGCACGGAGATTGATTGACAATGGTCTACAGCCGATCAGAACGCAGAACACAAAGTGCTGTAAGAAAAAAAAAAAGAAAAAAAAAAGCCTGCAAAATTGCACAAAAAAAAATCTGGGAATCAGCAAGGCCGCGAAAGGTGAACTGCATTATAGTGAGGGACCACTGTAAAATAAAATAAAATGTTACTGTCACAGCACAAACTGTTAGTGCAGTTATTCACACAACAAGCCACATCATTTGGGAATTTAAAAACAATGAACAGCACCCATCCCTTCCTGGATTATACATTTTAGTGCTTCTGCAGCAAAGGTGGTAACAGCATGACCTGAAGAGGACAGTGAGTGGATGGGCCTGTGCAGGTCAAACTTTGGGAGGTACCCTCACATCTCTTTGAAACTAAAAAAAGGTCATTTGCTAGCTTGGAGCTAGTTTGAAAGCATGACCCTACTTGAAAATTGCAACAAAAAATGTGTTGCGCATATTGCGTGCACACAGTAAACTGTCCTAGTGTGTGGTGAGTTCACTGATCCACTTCTGCACAGCAAAGTGACTCGAGCCGACTGCCCCCCATTAATGCTGGCTGCTAGTCCATGTCATGTGATCTGCTGCCGACCATAGCGAAAGAGAGAGAAGGAGAGGCTGATCATTTTAATGCAGGACCTCATCGGTACTTGCACCCTTACTCCACTGCTGGAGTAAGGGTGCAAGTCATCATTAGCATTAGGAGTAATACATTTTAGCACTTACATGTTGACTATTTTTCAATACTTCAAGTCGTTATGTGGTTTAGTCCCTGATGCTAGCAGTAGGGGTGCAACGATACACAAAATTCACGGTTCGGTTTGGTTCGATACTTTGGTGTCACGGTTCGATATTTTTTCGATACAAAAAATGTTCATGCTTTTTTAATTTGTCATTTATTAAAATTATAAATATATATTTTAACTCAAA